AACAACTCACTGATGCGGCATGCTGTGGGAACACCAGACCTGCTAAATTACATGATACCATTGAGCACAATGTATAGATGTTAACAAACTGCGCCAGCCACGTTTGATCTAACAAGCAGAAACAGCTCTGCTTACATCTGATAAACATGGTGCAGCACTTGCTCTGGTGGTCACCAGAAATGCAGCAGGAGGGGGACAGAGGCCATGCAGCTTGCCATATAGGGGAAGGGAGCCAAATGCCAATTGCTATTGGGTTGACCCATGTTTAAAAAACCCGTGTTAACGTGCTATTTTCAGTGTGAAACGGGCTTAGACTGCAATAAAAAGCTGCTCTTGGTCACATGACTCAGTCAGTCCACCCCTCTGATGTTAAATAGCTGAGCATTTGAAAAGGACAGTAAAAGCTGAGCATCTCGAGTGCTGTATGTTGACCAGAAATATAATGTAATATATCTGAAATTAAGCTAGTACTTGGTTTACAAGTTACATGGGGTTGTTTTCATGTAAGTAAAATTATAGAGTCAAACGAGTAAGAGGTTCTTGAATTGAGCTAAGAGAAGAGTCAGAAACATAGTTTTAAATCCCACCTTAATTTTTTCTTGCACTTTTTGCAGCAGAAGCATGTTTTGTGAAAAATGTATTTGTCTGCCGTGATTTTTTCCATTTGGTAAACCGGCTTCTGACAGGCTGAGCACAACTCTTGAGACGTTGGTTGAAACTGATAAGAAAAATGAGACAGGGTTCAGGATCACAATGGTGACTTTCAAAAAAAGAATTTATTCCAATACTGCTGTTACAAATAAAGCAGGTAACTAATGCATGATTAATATATACCATAATAATAAAAACACCAAGTTGATAATTAGAATGTTTGGAAAACATAAAAGGCAAAAACTGTTCTATTTAGACACCCAAATCCCTGACCTGAATTCCTGCCCACTAAACCTCTGGATATGTTTATAGCTGATATGTTGCTGGGCTAACTACAGCCTGACTTGTTATTGTTTCGGTTGAGTAGCAACAACAGCAGAAACTGTGGATGTGTAAAGCTGGTTACCAGAGTAATCAGTCCTCTCATACTTTTCAACAGTTGCCCCTGTAACACTGCCTCCACTGTCAGTTTTCACCTGGAGCACACTAACCTCTCGATTTTGTTGGCATTTAGACATTTGCTTTTGCCCTCCATTACTGGGGTTCTTTTTACCTGAAGTGGGGCTGTTGCATGACACTGTCTTCATAGTTCTAAATTTTTCTTCAGGTCTTGAGTTCATTTGACATTTCACACAGATTGACATGTCCTGTGGTGCAGTCTCTGTATCATCAGTTTTTCTAGCTATGGACTGAATAGAGACGAATGCAGGTGAAGATGGAGGACTTTGCCCTTGCATTGTGGAAAAGGTATCTGTAGTGGGAGATGGTGCAGCCCCTGTGGATGTGCTTGTTTCTGGAAGAGAACTTTCCTGTGGTTCTTGGGGTTTGGTTCTGCTTAAGCCGCTCTTGTTAATATTGCTAGAAAAGGAAGACCCTTCTGCAACCCCCAGGGATTCTTTGAACAAATTTGATAGACTTGCAATATCTGAGTCAGATTTTAATGTAGACACAGAAAAAAGGGCCTTCTTAATGGTGTCCTCTATGTCCTTAAGTCTGGCTAAAGTCTGCTCTTTTAAGTGTATTATTTCCTCACTTGCACGCTCAAGATCTCCATAAATATATTCCATTGAGGACTTATTTTTTATGTCTGCTGGTATGGGAATTGATTTGTTTTTGGTTTCTATTGGGACCTTCGTTTGTCTCTTCTTGTCTGTGTTGACAACCCAGTCAGGAATGTTCTCAAACACCCTCCTGAGAGACCTCACGTCAACCTTACTTGTGTCACTCTCAATTTCTTTTACTCGACTCAAAATGCTTTCCAGTTGCTCTTGCTTTCTCAAATGTTCAAAGATTTCCATCGCAGCAGTTACATTCCCTCTCACAATCTCATCCATGTGTATGGACAGTCGCTGTCTGTTCTCATCCTCTGTTTCTATCGTTGCTTTCTTTTCCCTCATCTCAACTTTGTTTTTTTGCTCTGTGTCCTTGTCAATGCTGTCTACTCTATCAGCAGGTATTTCAAAGGCATTACATAATGGATCAGCCCTCATTTGGACAATGCCATCTCTAGTGCTCTCTCCTGGTAAGTGTTTTTGACTTTTGTCGCTAGACTGAATAGGTTTCACTCTTTTTGGCTTCACTGGAGCAATCTTTTTCAAAGGCAGCCCTTTCCCACCAAATTTCTGGCGGGCTTCATGGAAATTTATATGGGTTTCATCTGTATCACATATGTTATTTGCTGATGTGGTCTGAGGAACCTCTTCCTTTCCTATAATGCTTGTCTTGTGTTGTTCATTTATGTTTTTTATAATATTTCCGTTATTCTCAGAGACTGAGGTCAAACTTTGAACTTCAGATTTCCCTTGCGTCTCATGCAGCATCTTTGTACCTTCACCTAAGTTCTGATTTTCATGATTGTCCACTGGCCGACTGATAGAACCTTCTTGATTTAAAATCGGTGTAGTTATTGAGGGCTGGGGCACTTGGAAAGCGGTTTCTTCGGTTCCCACATTACTAATTTTGTGTTCCTCTGGAAGCCTAGTAGGAGATGGCTGATTTATTGCATGATTTGCCTTTAAATGTTCGGGTTTAGGTGGAATTGGAGGTTTGGGGCCTATGACTCTTTTGCTTCTCTTCAACACAGCACCTTGAGTTGCTGTACAGTTGTTTTCAACTGAGTTTAAAATAGTCTTTCCTGGATTTAGTGGTTCTTTAGATTGTTGTGGAAGTACAGCATTTGCCACAGCCACATGTGGGTTTTGTGGTTTTTCAAATGGGTGTGAAGGCTCTGCATTTGCCACAGCTACTTCTAGGTTTAATAGTTTTTCAGATGTGAATCGATGCTCCGCATTTGTCAAAGTCCCTTCTAGATTCAGTGAGCTTTTATTTTGGCCTGAAGGCTTTGCATTTTTCTCAGTCAGTTCTAGATTTAGTGGTTTTTCAGTTGGGTGTGGAGTTTTCACATTTTCTACAGTTGTTTCTATGTTTACTGATACTTGAATTGGGTTGGGGGACTCCACATCCAAAGATGATTCTTGTTCTTTAGATGGGTTGCAGGGCTCCATATTTGCTACAGTCACTTCTGTGTTTAATGTTTCTTCATTTGGACGTGGAAGCTTTGCATATGTCATAGCCACTCCTTGGTTTAGTGAATCTTCAATCTGGTTTGGGGGCTCTTCATATACCACAATTACTGGAAGGTTTGGTGTTTCTTCATTTGGGTGTGGAGACTCTGCATTTTCCAAAGTCCCTTCTATGTTTACTGGTCCTTCAGTTGGGTTGGAGTGTGCCACATTTTCCACATTCACTTCTAGGTTCAGTCTTCCTTCAGCTGTGCGTGGAGGCTCCACATTTCCTCTAACCACTTTTAGGTTTAATGTTTCTTCAGCTGGTTTTGGAAGCTTTGCATTTGCCACAGCCATACCTAGGTTTAGTAGTTCTTCAGTCTGATGTAGGGGCTCTTTATCTGCCACAATCACTTCAAGGTTAAGTGTGTCCTCAGTTGGTTGTGGAGACTCTGCATTTGCCACAGGTTCTACAAGGTTTGGTGATTTTATATTTGGGTGTGAAGGCTCCACATTTGCCACAGTTACTTCTTGGTTTAGTAGTTCTTCAGTGAGGTTTGGAGGTTCTGCATTTACAAAGCTCACCTCAAGGTTTAGAGGCTCCCCAGGCTGGTATGGTGGATCAGCATTTGTCACTGTCTCTTCTAAGTTTAATGGTTCTTTTGTTTGGTGGGGATTTTTGTTTTCCCAAGTTAGCTCTTGCTTTGGTTGCTCTTGACTTAATTTACACATGGGGCATAGATCTGTTGTGTTGTTCTTTTGAACATCTTTTGGTGATGTTTTCTTATTAGATTCATAGGAGTGTCTGTATATCATGGCTGCTTTAAAGTCTCCCCTCGTGATATTGATATTGGACCTCTCCAAGGAGTTCAATGCAGCTTGGATTGTACCCTTATAACAAGTTTTATCTTCTTCTTGTAGGGATGTTTCTTCTGAAAATTGTGGATACACCATTGCCGTTAGATTTGTTTCACTTTGATTTAAGACTGTGGATTCTTTACTTTGATATGCTTCTGAACCTGTTTTTGACCGCCTGTCAGTATCTGCTATAGCATTGGCAATGGGTATTTCAGACAATCCTTCTTTATAGATTTCTTGAAAACGTGACTCATTTTCAGCTTGGTCATGGGAATAATAAGCTGTTTTTGGGTCAGAAACCTTATCATTCACATTTACAACTTCTGCCATCTCAGGTTCATGGACCCTGTTATCATTTTGACTATCAGAATATGCCACAATTTTCTTAGGATCTTGGACAAAACATGTGTTAATTCTATGTGTATGCTGTGGAAGCAAGAATACCTCAGTATTGCATTCTACAGGAGACTGACTTTTTCCAGATGATACCGCAGAAGTCTTACTATGAATTGGACTTTTTCCCTCAGAGAACATGTTTTTTAATGTTTTTACATCCACTTGTATGCACTCCTCGGCTGAATCACTTTGCTGCTCATGTTGACATTTATCATCCTGTTTTAAAGCGGCTTGATTTTGACTGAGGCCACTCCTGTGAACGGTTGGTTCATCATCATGAAGAGATCTCAAATACTCCAAGTCACCTTTTTCAATGTAACTTTTGAGCAGTTTCACATTAGGCCTGACTGACCCTGAAAAGGATGGGTCTGGACCACTTTTTGACAATAATTCTGTATGTGTTTCAGGTTCTTCATGCTCTGCACCTTTTGGAGGAATGTAACTCTTTACGTCTTTTTCATCAAAATACTTGTAGAGAGAATAAACAATGACCTCACCATATTTACTGGCATCTTCTTGAATGATTACTCCTTTTCTCAGAGAGTTGTCCTGATTGAGAATATCTTCAACAAGCTGAATTACATTGGCAGTTTTTAACTCAGTGTCTTTGTTTACGCTGAAGTGATGCTGATGAGCCAATGCATCCAACACTGTGGTCTTCATTAACCCTTTACTATCCTCTTTTAGGTAAATGATCTGATGTTTTAGGTTTACCCGTGGAAGCAGCTGCACTATAAAGTTTCGTGCTCCACCTTCAGCAAACTCATTATATTTTAATTCGGGTCCCTGGTCTGATATAGTAAATTTTGATTTTTTAGCAATCATTGTCTCATTGACCTCAATAATTGCCCCATCAGAATGAATGGCTTTTACATGGTGTAGGAAATCTAATGTTTCTTTGATATTTTCCACTAGCATCTCTATTTCATCCTGATTCTGATGTCTAATTTTGTCAAATGGCATTGATTCAAACAGATGTGCTCTGTTCTTTACGTTGGCAATTGGATAGCCTTCCTCTGCAAGACTGCTTTGAATGTGAGTTTTTGATGCATGACAATATGAATTCTGTTGTTCAATGTTTGCGGAAATAAAAGGGTTATTTTGAAAAAGATCTGAATTTGTAGTTGTTTTATTTTTTATTTCTGAATCAGGTAAACCTTTCGAAAACTCATCGAGTGAGAGATCATTTCCAAAAAATGCTACACTTTGACAGATCCTGTTAACACACGGCGCTTTTTCTTCTGAATCCTTTTCCATGCTTTTGTTTTCTTCTTGTGGCATGATGGCGGAATATGCCTCAGATTGTTCCATTATTTTTCCAGTTATAATTTCCTTCTTAAAATCTAAAGGAGCGTTGCCCTGAATCTCATTTTGCTTGTGTGTGCTTGAAGACTGATTTTCAACAACCTTCCTACTCACTTGAGCATCTTTTTTCACAATCTCTTCCTCAACATCTTTGTTAAAATCTGATGTCAAATTAGGAGACTTATTACTTTTCAACATCACTTCAAATTCCTTAGTTTTAGGTTCCTCTTTTAGCCTCTCAAAATCTGAAGCTGTTTTCCTATATTGCTTACTTTCCAGTCCCTCCTCTGCCACATAGATTTTTGGGTTGTTGTTGCTGCTCAGGTTGCGGCTTTCAAATATCATGCATCTTGAAAGAACTTCCCCCTCATATCCTGTTTTACCCCCAAGCTTCATTTCAGAGCTTAAAACTTCAGCAAACTCCTCATCAACAGCATCATCTAGCCTCTTAAGCTCAGGGCAGGTATGCTTAAGGAGGCGCCTCAGCTCGGTTTTCTGTCGTTGTTGAAATAACATTTCCGGGGAAAGTTGGAGTGAAGTTAACTGTTCAGAATGTGCCTCAGATATTTCTTCCAATCCTGTTTTATGCTCTTCTGCTGGCTGATGAGTGAAGTCATCTTTTCTTTGTTGGTAGTCTTCATTCATCTTAAAAGAATAAAGTATTGGTCTTACTATTTCCATCTTCTTTGATATAATAACTCTAGTGAAAGCCATGCTCCAGAGGAAGTGTTATGGTCCAGCAAAATGTAATTACTTACATCATTAGGACCCATGCATTACCACCAAGCCCAGTTATGCATCCCACCTGAAAGCGCTCCACAAGGACCAGTGTCACTTGATTAGATTAACATAAAAAATAATGTGAAAAACTTGCACCTGAAGCAATAACTAAATTCTCAACAGGGATGATGCATGTGCTGATTAGAAATGACAGGATGTTAGCTGCAGATCCTTTAAGTGAGGAGGGGTATTCATGTCTTGAAATTGCAAATCATGCAGTTGTCTGACTGGATTAATATGGGGAATATGGTGGCAAAGTCACAGTCTAAAACTATCTGCTGTGGTCCACAGGCTATAATTCAGCCATATTTGCTTTATGACACGTAGGACATAGGCATCAGAAGTCATCATTTCCAACAATAATTAAGTAGGTGGTCATCAGAAGTAAATTTCACAATGGTGACATTATTTATGGCATCAGACCAGATGCTTCTGTTGTTCCATTATCCAGTTCTTATTGGTGCTTAGATGGTGGATATGGGTCAGGTTAGGCAAGCTGATTGATTGTGGCTATGCAGCTCCATGTGCGAAAAAAAACGGCGTTGCTGTATTCTGATACATTTCTATCAGAATCAGCCTTATTGCTTAGCTTCTGGACCAGACCACACTGACCAGCCTTCTCTCAAAATTTGTATCAATGAGATTTGATTGCTAAGGAACCGTTGTTCTCTTGCCATTGTTATTTGGATTCACTAGAACCCTTGAGCGCATATATATTTTATTTATTAATTTTGCATGTAAGCAACCATAACATCATGACTGGTTAGTTAAAGCAAAATGAAGAAGTTACGGGCCATGCATATTACAGTAATTTCTATTCCTCTAGAAGCAACTCTGCACCATATACTGCTAAGTACAGACTGTCAGGTATTTTTTTTTTTTGTTTGTTTTAGAAGAATATAACGGTGGAGAAAATCTTATGTTATTTTGACAGAGTAAGTTAAAAAGTATGGTGACATGCGACTTTACCTTGGTTGGTTTAACCACCTTTCCAGAGTTTCGTGGTTGAGCTTGATCCTTAAAGAAAACAACACGTATCTTATAAGTCAAATTATTCCACTGCCAGGGTATACTTAATTCAATAAAAGACCCACAAAAACAGGTGTTCATGGTTAGATCCTCCTCAACTTAGACATTACAATTTAAATAGAAAATTAGAAGGGCTTTTATTTTTACTCTCAGGTTTTGAAAATCAACTAACAACTTAAAATCTTCCCATTTGAAAATGCTGTGTATTGTATTGTTATTTTATTATATTTGAGTTTATTATATGAGCTATAAAGTTTTTCTATTTGCCCAAATTTTCTTTTGTGTTTTTTAAACTGTATTCTCTCTGTTCATCTCTTTGTGCTAATTGAAATGGAAACAGCCTAATATGTTACTGTTGTGTGATTAGAGGTATTGGCTGGTATAACTGGATGTTAAAGCATTGTCCTTTGGTTTATTTTTAGTGACAACATGTAAGTGTACAAATACTCATAGACTTAAGTTCATGTTTGTTTTTTTACATTTAAGATACATTATGGAGATTATAAGATACTTTAATTTAAATATTTGAGTTTTGCTTATTACATTTACGGTGCAATGAAGTAAAACTAAACAATTTGAAAGGGTAAAAGAACATTGTAATACTAAATCGTTTTCATAACATTTTAAATTTCCATTTTTTTAATTTTTATCTCAGGTATTTAGAATTTGCTAATGGTGCTGCTGTTGATAAACAAGGCTTTTTGTATATAGCTATAGATTCTATATTCTGTATATATATATATATGTATAATTTGTCTGCACCGTCAACACCACATCAAATTCCTTGTAAGTGCAAACCTAGCTGGCAATAAATCTGATTCTGAATCTGGTTTTGAATTCAATGAAAGGATTAAAAGGATACAATGGTCCAACATTACAGTATTTTAGATACATAACCCTGTAAAAAAATCAGTTGCTCAGATTCTGACTGCTAGAGAGTTGCAAAGTATTTCCAATCACATCCTTAGCATGTGTAGTATATACATAAACCGGCAGTAAGGTAAAGTAAGACTGGACACAGTTTACATCAATGTCCTGACATTAGTCCCGACATCTTTTGCCACGGGTGCCAAAATCTGTTGTTTATGCTGTTAGCATCAATATGTCGGAAAGTTGCTAAACTTAGCATTTGATAGGTCTTCCTAATGTACAGTTCTTGCAAAAATAAATGTTTTTTTCAATCACTCTGAAACTTTCGCAGTGTTATTTGCTCTGTTTGCTGACACGGGTACAAAACGATTGTTTAATTAATTATGTAACACGGAATATTATTTTTATTTAGGGTTGTGGGAATTTGAAAAATGAATGAATAACAAAAAAATGAAATAATAGTTTAAGAAAAATCTATTAATATATGTTAATGTTGATTTCAATCTATGGCAAAAAGGATTTAATCTGAGCTGAAAGGATTAAAAAAAAGTTCACAGACTGACCTTTACAACTTTTGGACTGATTGTCACTTCCCGATTTGCCACTTTTGACATATAGAGAGCAGACAAAGCTTTGACAGAGACAGACAGAACTTCTTTGGTTTGGACGAAAGAGTTGTCTCTGGAGTCTGCAGCTGACTTCCTCTTTTCATCTGCAGAGACATCAGATGGACAAGCTGGAAAATGTGACACACAATGTGTTTGGCATGATGGTAAAATGAAAAATTCTGATGATGGATGCCATTCACTGACAAAGAATTTAAACAGTGAGTCATCTTGTAGTATAATGCCTAATCCTCCAGTGTTAATGGTTATGTCACCAAAGTGTTTGTTAGAAAGCTCTAATTTAGGCTCCTGCTCAGAGAGCTTCCTGAACTGATATTTCCCAGCTGTCATGTGGCTGAGATATAAATGCATACTTGTGCTGGACCAGGAAAGATACATGACTCCAATGATGCAAATACACACAGTTAAAGCATGAGTGAATCGCTACAGCCAAGGCTAAACAAGTTACAGTTCTATTAATAAACTGTAGCAAGTCAACTTTATGATAATAACACGGAGACACACACGTTTAAATTCCAGTAATAGGACAGAGCCTTTCACTTATATTGACATCCATACTAAAAGTGCATATATGCAATATGTATATATTTTTATTATGTTTATGACAACAGCCTAATCTTACCAAAAACTTGAGACAAATCCAACTTTTAAACTGAGGACATTTTTCCATAATTTTTCATTTCCATCTTCAAAGACTGCGAGCTCATTACCAACAATAAAAAAATTGCAAATAAATACATTACAATGAAAATGTGCACAAGGCTGTGCCATAAATTATAATTTCTGATCCCAAAAAAGGAACATGTCCATTACTGAAAGGGTATAAACATTTTTTGTTGTGAAATGTTTAAAAAAAAAAAAAAAAAAAAACACTGTTTTTTTTTCAATCTATTTTCCTTTTTCAGTTCTTTTATCATCTCTGGAAATAAGTCTGTATTTTTTTTTTTTTATCAGAAACAATAACTCTATTGAACTAAAGTCTGCAACAGGATTGAATATTATCTGTATGTCCATACTTGCCTTTTTCTGTTCTTGGGCAAATCCTTTAAACCACACAACTTTAGCTTTTACTTTGAAGTATTAAGACTTTCTATAATTAAAGAGGCTTTTTGAGTTTCAATAAAAGTGTTTCTTTGGGTTTGATATTTAGTTCTGTGATTTTAAAAAGGCAGCAAAAAGGATTATTTATGCTGTACTGATCAGTATCTGAAGGTGTCTTTGAGAAAGAAAACCGGATTTTTCTGAATATTTGGCATAGGATCAGAAACATGCATCATCAACCAACGAAACCGAATTGAATCTGCTTGCTAAGGTTTTATGATTTTTTTTATTGCTCATAACTGAGCTAATAACTGTGATGTAGCAGAGTAATTAAAATTGGAGTGTTGCATGCAGTAATGTTGTAATCAGTTCCCTCAACACTAGTACTCCAAAATACCAGCATATGGCTTCAAGAGTCAATATAGGTCAGAGTTGAATGGCCTGACAAGCAAAAATAAAGACTCTACCCTGAAACAGACACTCTCCAAAAAAAATAACTTCAGACCGTCAAGATAAATAAAATTCTATTCAACTAAAATGTTTTAAAAGATTAAAAGACTTGTAGCAAGTCACCAAGGAAGCAGGCTTATCAGAATCACTGCAAAGTGGTCTAATTTCATTCCCTTTTTTGTCCAAATCCAAATTATACTCACAGAATATGAATCCTTGTTGATAACTTAATTCCTTTCTTCTTTGTTTCTGTTTCTTTTTAAACTTGTGTATAATCTTTAAAATGATCCTATCCTTTAAGAAAGTGTCTGCTTTCCCCCGTCACTCCCTCGTTCTGGGTCATCTGTCCTGGCGACAGCTGACCGTTTTACCCTCCTAAACTTATTCAGGACTTGTTGCTTAGCAGCTATTTCTGTCCCACTCTGTAGTGGACCCCTTTTAACCACAGAAGGTTTAGTCAATCACAGCTTTTGCAAAGTCACTGTCTAAATACCTATTCACGTTGTCCAGTTTTAAAGATTACAACCACAGCTTAAAATATGTGTATATATATTTTTCTCCTTATTCAAATTTAAGTTGATTCTTTAAATGGATTCTATAAACACCCATAATGAATAAGGAAACAACGTGACCCATGCTCCTCCTTATCTGCTGGATTTTGAACTTACTGTGCAAGTGTGTGGTTTAATTAGAGTCATATGTGGGTCATTATTGAGGTTTTTGTTTCAATTGCCAGCCAATCTTGTCTACCTTGATCTTGCACATGATTATTAAAGAGGTATAACTTTTACCTCAGCTGTTCTATTATGCTTAAAACAAATTTGGAATATTTACTTGACTTCCATTTTACCCAATGAGAGCAGTTTGTTTCTTTTGGGGAAAAATTGGGGAAAAAAATAATGCTTGGTGAAAATATTTGGGACTCACCAGCTTCAGATGCTGCAAGTCTTTCAAAATCAATGCCTGCCACTGATTTTCTTTTCGCTGTCTTGGTTTGATTCACCACCTGTAGAGAGAAATTAGAAAGCCTTAGTGCTTAACAGTCAGAGTGCCGCTGTGGAGGTGTCAAAACCAAAGCACTGCAACCACCCTGGATGTCTTACACCCCTATCTCACTGGCCCAAAAACCTGTTTAAACCTGGGAACAATCGGATTTTAGTAGCATTGAGAACAGCTTACTGAAGTGTGTCTACCCACGGGTCAAATGACTCCGCAAGAGAACAGTTTTAATCGTCCTGGTAAGCGGCATGTGGGAACACCAGAGCCTGGATGAACGCCTAAATTATGTGACACCATTGAGCACAACATATGAACGTCAACATGCCTTGCCAGCCACGTCTGTTCTAACAAGCCAAAACAACTCTGTTTACATTTGTTAAACATGGTGCAGCCCTGGTAAGAGAGATTCGGAATGATACCGTAATAGAGAGGAACAATAAAGCACACTTACTGTGCACTGGCTTCCTTACATGTTATTCTCCATTGTAAACTTTAGTGATTTCTGTTTCCCTGGTGACAGCATCAGTGCTAACCCCGCATGATGATTTCAACAGACACGCATCGTGCAGCTTTCTAGCTAGGGGTTAGACCCGTTTTTTTTGGCAGTGGGAAGGGAGCCAAATGCCGATTGTTAGAGAGTCGACCCATGTTTGGAAAACCCGCGTAAACCCGGTATTTTCAGTGGAAAGAGGCTTTATTGTTTTCTAAAGCAGGAAGTATATGTGTAGCCAAGGTAGAAAGCAGATATGATAATAAAACACTTGATTCCACCTGTGTTTAATGAGTAAAGTCTGCTCCAAAGCCATATAATAATCATTTGGGACAACCTAATGAAAAATATAAAAATAAAATCTAAAAATTAATCAACTAAAGGTCAGAATCAGGAAACGCTCCATTGTTCGGCTTTGATCAGGTATTAAAGTAGATAAAATAGTTTTCCTCAATATCCATTGAATGCATCAAGGTCTCCAAATACGTTTTTATAAATGCATACAAACCGCAAATTTGATGCACTTTATGATGCAAACGATGCTTAAAGTCTGTTATTCTTATTATTGCTTCCTATTTAGTTTGATTTATAACTTTAATATCCGTCGAATAACTTGTGGCACTTGTAGTTTGATACCTGATGCACTTGGGGCGACAGTGGCGTCGGATGTTGGAGTTTGCCCTAAAATCGAAGGGTTGACGGTTCAAGCCCCAACTCTGACTTTCAGTGTCGTTGTGTCCTTGGGCAAGACACTTCACCTGCATTGTCTACTGATGGTGGTCAGAGGGCCTGGTGGCGCCAGTGTACGGCAGCCCCGCTTCTGTCAGTGAGCCCCAGGGCAGCTGTGGCTACAATATAGTTTGCCACTGTGAGTGTGTGCGTGAATGGGTGAATGAATGTAGCGTAAAGCGCTTTGGTCAAATCTCCTGACTTGAAAAAAGGCGCTATATAAGTACTTACCATTTTTATATCCTATTTGCGCAATTCTTTTAAATAAATTGGGTGTCATGTGATTACTTATTAGACCATCCAGTATTTTAATAAAAGGTAAAGATTCCTTAAAATATCAAAGAATGTTTTTTGTTTCACTGCAGATCTATATTTAAGGTAATCTCTTTATGAAACCATATGTTGCCTCCAACTGGAAGCAAGATTAAAAGTTTGGGCTGGTCCACCCAAAATCCAGTGATTAGGGCGGAGAATTATTACCTTTAAAGCAACAAAAAGTGTAAGAATTGGCTTTAATTTGTTAAAACCTTTTATTTAAACTTGTAAAATAATAATAAAAAAACTTCCATAGTCCCATGAACAAACTTAAATGACTGAAAAAACTGCTAAAAAGCAAAACTGAAACTAACTCTGGTGGTGGTTAAAATTAACAACAAAGCAACTGATTAATTCTCAAAACTTCTGATCTAAAATGTTTATATGCTGTAGCATACAGTAGCATAATAAAAGTAATAGTTTTTACCTTTTGAGGTGGAGAATCATCTTTTTGCTCCTTCTTAGATTTCATTTTAGCAGGTTTCATCTGTTCCTTCCAAGGAATCTGCACTTCCTCAGCCTCTCCATTCACCAGTGGAATATTCGTGTTGTGATCCAAGGCTGGGTTTCCAGCTCTAAAACTGCTTTTCGGTTTGTACTCTGCTGTTGCCTTTGTCTCGAAAACAGCCTTCAGGGCCTCTATGGACCTGTTGCCAGTTTGGAGGCTACCCACTGATTTACTGCGAGTCAGACTGACTTTGGTCCGAGCTTGTTCCTGTTCATCATTTTTCTTCAGAAGAGAGTCCGGATGAGTCTCTCTGCTTTTCAGAGGAGATGGAGGGATCTGCTAAAATATATTCACAAAACCAATGTCTTGAATATAACTGAAGTAGTTCTTTTCCCAAGTGCAAAAGTACTTGATAAACAGGGTTACCTCTTTTAGTCCTGCTTTCTTCTTTCCTTCAACATTATTATCTGGAGCGGCTTGACTGGTTGTACCTTTTGCCACTGTAGTTTGATACCTGATATGCATTTTTTACTCAATTTTAAAGCAGTTTTAACATTTAAATGCATCTTCAATTATCACAGAGAAGAAAAGATGATTTTTGTACCTGGCCACTAACTGGGACACAGATATGGCCCTGTCCTGAAGTCCTGTATCTGTCCAGATCACCTTGTCAGACTGTGAGGACAGACTCCTCAGAGACTGGCTGCGCCTTAGATCCTTTTCCCATTCCATAGTTTTATCGAAGCAGATCAATTCTTCCAAATTTATTCAACAAACCATCATACAAAACAAAAAAAAAAACAAGGATTTTCATCAGAGAACTGAATTTCTTATATCAGAATTTTTGCAGACAGCTTCCTTTCCCTGCTTACCAATTTTAGAAAGCATCTTAAAACCTTTATTACATTTTTAGGACTATATACTGTTACATTCATTATCAAAATTTAAGAAAAAATACCTTGCTATTAATCATTATTCCAGAGGATTTTTTTAATTTGTTACCTTACAGATGTCATGTAGTGCCTGTTCCTTGTGACAACCAGACAATGATACTTCCGCCGCATCATGAGACCTGCACACGATAAAAGGTGCTTTTGGAGCAAAGTCCTGTTACTTCCTTATTGCCTCTGCCTCAGTAGATTGGACCTGTGACCAAAAACAGCCGACTGCTCTAAAATTCTCTTAAAGTTGTAACACAAATGTGTGCAGACTTGTGTAAATGCGTTTCAAACAATAAAAAAATAAACTATTGGGAGAAAAAAGAATCTTAGTTTTGCTTTTCACATCAATTTTGTATTTTATTACATTCTACCAACAGGAGAATCTTCTTGTTGTTTGATCACAGGTTAAACCTTATATGTAATTACTTGATCTTTGAACAGAGGTTCATGATCTGTTGAGATAAAATGAGATTAGCTTAATCTATTTTGTGGCAGGTGTGGTTAGTTCAGCACCAAAAAGTAAATCTAGATACATATAGCCAAAACAAAAGAAAAGTGCATATATATATATATATGTATATTTTAAGAAACATTATTTACTCCGAAGAGCTAGTTTTAATGTTTGCATTTAGTCACTGATTAACAATGCCCTTCAGTTGAAATTTATTACAACACCCTGCAGGATGAACTCAACAACAGTCAATTGTAGGTGTAAATGACAGCAACCTGTCAACTGTTCTATTGTAGTCATCAGGCAATCCCAACAAAAACTAATTCATTTAAACTGCTCAAACAATAAGTGGGACATTAAAATAACACAACCTATAATTGAATGCATGAAATATTCTCACTGAATAGTTCATTCTTTACAAAGTTGGATGTGCTGACAAATCAAACAAAAATCATCAATGGAAATCAAATTTTTTAAAAGAACGGAACCCTTGATTTGGAGTCACACAAAATTTAAAGTGGAAAAACACACTACAGGCTGATCCAGCTTTGATGTAATGTCCTGAAAACATGACAAATTGAGGCTCAGTATTGTGTGTGGCCTCCATGTGCCTGTGTGACCTCGCTACAATGCCTGGGCATTCTCACGATGAGGTGGTGGATGTCTCCCGATGGATCTCCTCTAGACCTGGACTAAAGCATCCGACAACTCGTGGACATCTCTGGTGAAAGGTGACGGTAGAGGATGGACCGAGACACAATGTTCCGGATGTGCTCAATCTGATTCAGGTCAGTGGAATGGGTGGGCCAGTCCATAGATTCAATACTTTCATCTTGCAGGAACTGCTGACACATTCCAGCTGCATGAGGTCTAGCATCTTCCTGCATTAGAAGGGCGAACTGCACCAGTATACAGTCTCACAAGGGGTCTGAGGATCTCATCTCGGTACCCAATGGCAGTCATGCTACCTCTGATGAGCACATGGAGGGCTGTGTGGCCCTCCAAAGAAATGCCGCCCCACACCATTACTGACCCACTGCCAAACAAGTCAGGCTGAAGGATGTCTCCAGACTCTGTCATATCTGTCAAATGTGCTCAGTATGAATCTGCTTTCATCTGTGAAGACCAGAGGGCACCAGTGGTGAATTTGCCAATCCTTGTGTTCTATGGCAAATGCCAACCATCCTGCATGTTATTGGACTGTAAGCACAACCCCCATCTGTAGACATCAGGAAGTTATACCATCTTTATGGAGTCAGTTTCTAATAGTTTGTGCAGACACATGCACATTTGTGGCCTGCTGGATGTCATTTTAAAGGGCACTGGCAGTGATCCTCCTGATCCTCCTTGCACAAAGGTGGAAGTAGCAGTCCTGTTGCTGGGTCTACTGTCTCCTGGTTGTGCCTCCAGCCTCTGGACACTATTCTGACAGACAGGCAAACCTTCTTGCCACAGCCCGCATCAATGTGTCATCCTGGATGAGCTGCACTAACTGAGCTTTATGAGTTGAAGAGTCCGTCTCATGCTACCATGCGTGTAAAAGTACCACCAACATTCAAAAGTGGCAAACACATCAGTAAGAAAGTAGGTGCTGAGAACTGGTATGTGGTCCCCACCTGCAGAACCACTCCTTTATTGAATGTGTCCTGCTAGTTGCCAATAATTTCCACCTGTTGTGTAATCTATGGGAAATTGTTTTTCAATCAGTGTTGCTTCCCAAGAGGAGAGTTTGATTTCACAGAAGTTTGATTTTATTGAAGTTTTATTGTGTTTAACATGTTCCCCGTATCTTTTTTATCAGTAAATATTCCCGCTTAAGTTCGTCAATGTTAAATCTGTCAAAATTTAAGCCACATTTAAACCCACAATGAGCATACAGTGGCTATAGCTCTTCTAGTGATTTAGTTCTTTATGTCTTACGAAATTTTTATAAGCAGCACAGCTAATTTTTGTCTTATTTTACTGAATAAACATGGCAGGAAATTTGGCAGGTACGCTCATCAAGCTTTGATAAAGGAGACTACATGCGTGATCCTTCTAGTAGTGCATCCTTTCGCCCACCAGGGGGGTGTTCTCTTACTTTTCTCTTTGTATACAGAAAAGTGACTTTATTTCAGAGGATAAGTCTGTAAAATTGTAGAAACAATAAATTTATTTCATAATAAAAGCACTCTTCTCACTTAGCTGTCATGACTTATGTCGATGATTTACTTACACTTAACATTTTGAGGTCTGACATTTCAGCTTCTTTTCAGTTTTTAGAGTTTATGGAATACTAACTCAAGATTGCATGTCAGTTCAGTGAAATGTAAATTTGGATATGTCAAACAGATCTTAACATTCTGACTTTAAAAAAAAAATACAAATCTTTTGATCTGATAAGGGATTCAAAATTGAAATAAGCTTTTAATTACACCTGAGTAGGTGCTTCCCTTATATACATTTGCCTATCAGAAGCTGACCACCTTATCTTATTAAGGACATGAAAAGTGAGGTGGCAGATGTTCACTTTTCTGAGAAATATAATGACCATGGCTATTTAGTGTTGTGGTATTTGGCAACCCATTCCTAACAGCCCAAAAATGTAGCTTATTTAAAATTGTATGAAGAGGTAAGGACACCAGAGATGCACCAATCTGATACCTGGATTGGGTATCTGCTCTGATATAGACTAATTAGCTGGATAGGACGTGCACTTCATATGGAACTGTTATTTCTTTCTTTTTGCTTATTTGTTAAAAAATAATATAAAGTACATTAATATCTGTGTCAATTTATTAAAAGTTTAAACAATATCTATGTTCATTCAACATTTGAATCAGATTGGTGTCTGATCTTTTTAAGGCAGCTTGTGAACCTAAATATTTAAGTTAAACCAAAATGACAATTATTACAGTGCAGGCACTCACAGATTAATTAGAGACATTATCTCTTACCCATTGTATTAAATGTTAAATGTTGTTTTTCATCTCCCTCAAAAGGACCTTAGCAGGAGAGATTCTTTTTGTCTGCATAAAAGTAATCATCTTCACTGCTAAGTTATGAGGTCAGGAGAAAAGAATAGGAAGAAACGAGGCAGTCTATATAGATAAAATAGCCTCTCTAGATATTATTAATTATAATACAGTGTTTCTTCTTATGGGCAGCTTTGATAAAGGGGACATATGTCTGTTGGAAAGAGCAAGCAGGCAGACGTACGATTTAAGGATGAACACCAAACAATGACACATCCTACCAGAAACTCCAAGAAGGACATAAGTACTTTTTCTCAGCTAAAATTATATTAACTCATATTAAAGTTTGATTCCTGTTTGAAACTGTTTTACTATAATAAGAAGTAATATTTAAAGTATATTTCATATAGCGATAATTCCAGGCAAAAAGAACCGAGAATGCCCTGAGGCGTCAGCGCCATCAGGGGACAATTGCCTACATTACAGACTGGTGGACTTCTAGAGAACATTCCTTTCCTTGTCCTAATGCTTCTTTATAATACAGGAGGAAAAAGCACAAGAAGTTGAACAAGTCTTCTGAGGCAGGTTTTTCATTACTGAAACATTTTGTCTGTTTTCAAGGACACTTCTTCAGTTTGAGAGATAACAGTTAAGCAGTAGCTTTGCATACTGGATCTACTAACAGTAACAATTGAAACTGGTTGCTCACATGCACAAGTGGATCAAATACTTAACAACTGCCCATTCATAATCTAAAGGACTCTTATTGTTCCAGGAGTTATGCTTGCAACACCAGAAGTGTAAAAGGGGATTGGATCTGGAGGCTTCCACTCCTGTTTAACTGTTGTTAAACAGAAGTGGAGTTATGGAGTCATTTTCTCTTTACAGGAATGGCTTCCTTTATTTCTCTCAAACCAGCAGTCTTCCCTGTCTAGGATGAGAACATCTCCATCCCTGAAACAGTGACTGTTGGGATACAGATGAGTGTTAGCCACTGAATCTAGGCCTGATGATGTTGCTATTTCCTCAATTAAAACTGATCGCAGTTCTCCTGGAATTTAACGCCAAATAAAATGTCCATGCCCTGTTGTGGTGAGGGTGAAATATTTTGTGTAAACCAGTTTTTGCCATAAAGTTTTCAAATTTGAAAGCCACTGGGGCACAACATATGAAACAACTACTGCTCACCCCAATCATTGACCATAAAGGGGAACGCCGTCTTTTTTACATTGGGCCCTTGATTTTACGTTATTACATCATGTTCTACTCACCCATATGAGTTTTGTGTCATTTGGAGCCGTTCTGAAGATATTCTGTTAGGTTATATCAAAGTAACGCCTTCCTATGGGCAACGACTTGAAGGCACACACTAAACTGTTCATAATTTATAATTTATGGTATGCCACCATTCAAAACATCTAGGCGAATCACTGTCCCCCAGATCCGTAGTTATATTATTTATATTTATATCTTCTAAAAACAAACAGGAGTGTGTATGGACTGGAACTGCTCCGTCTTCACGGCCTGCCTGACCAGCAGCTTCAATACTTCTCTCAAGATCAACATTTACCTGAAAGATTTAAACTCACCAACACTGAATCACTGCCACAACCCCAGACCTCACTCGCCTCTCCCTGGGAGAAGGATTCCCTCGCACAATAGTGGCTGCTTGCTGCATTCATTCCCTCTGTCACTTGGT